GGGCTGGCACAGTGGCTCCTAGCACTGTGGGAGGCTGAGTGGGTGGATCATCTGAGCTGAGGAGTTAGAGACCAGTCTAAGCAAGTGGAAGATCCTGCCTCTACTAAAAATAGAAAAAACTAGCCAGGCTACTGAACCAGTAGTCTCAGCTCCTTGGGAGGCTGAGGCAAGAGGATCACTTGAGTCCAAGAGTTTGAGATTGCTGTGAGCTATGACCCAACGGCACTCTATCCAGGGCAACTGAGTGATATTCTCTCATAACAAAAAAGAAGAAGAAGAAGATAGGCTACATCTGGAATTTCTTCTCATTCTTTGAGAAAACACTGTCCTGGGGCCAGGCTTGGTGGCTCATGCCTGTAATCCTAGCACTATGGGAGGCCAAGGTGGGTGGATTGCCTGAGCTCACTGGATCAAGACCAGCCTGAGCAAAAGTGAGACCCTCTGTCTACTAAAAACAGAAAAACTGAGGCAAGAGGATTCCTTGAGCCCAAGTTGGAGGTTGCTATGAGCTATGATGCCATTGCACTCTACCTAGGGCAACAACTTAAGACTCTCTCAAAAAAAAAAACACTGTCTTTACACTCTGGGAGGCCAAAGTGGATGGATTGCCTGACCTAACAGCTTCGAGACCAGCCTGAGCAAAAGCAAGACCCCATCTCTACAAAAAATAGAAAAACTACCTGGGCATAGTGGCATATGCCTGTAGTCCCAGCTACTCAGAAGGCTGAGGCAAGAGAATTGCTTGAGCCTAAGAGTTTGAGGTTGCTGCGAGCTATGATGCAACAGTGCTCTGCTGAGGGCAACAAAGTGAGACTGTATCCAAAAAAAAAAAACAAAACACTATTTTTAGAAAGTGTTATTTGAACTAATTAACCTGCCTTTTGACTATAAACCCAGTTTAAGTGACATCTTAAGGACTAGTAAATGGCTCTTTGGTTAACATTTACTTAGAATCCAAACAATATCTCAAATCACAGGTAACATTTTGTGTTTGAGAGAAAGTGATTCCTGGTGCCTAAATAAAAATAGAGACACAGATCTGCCCCTAGAAAGCAGAAAGTATTATACAGGGTGACCATAAAGTCAGTATTTTAAATTGCACACAAACTTCATGGCCACCCTGTATAAGTGCATTTAATCATTAATTAAAATTCCTATGAGACCTAAAAGTCAGGAAAAAAATTAAGAAGATTAATTTTTCAGAAACATTCAAATGTTACAGGAAGAGGAGAAAGTCTGACAGGGAAGAAGCAGTTTTGATAGGCAACTTGCCTCATAAATTTTTTTTAATTTCAAAACATTAAGGGGGTACAAATGTTTTTCTTACATGGATACCTTTTATGATGCTTAAGTTGGGGCTTTAGGTGTGCCTGTCAACCAAATTGTGTTCATTATATCTGATAGGTAGGTTTTTATCCCACCTGTCCTCCCTTCTTGATTTCAAATGAACTTTACATCTCTTTTGTGCCTATCTATTAACTCTCAATTATTAGAGAGTACATGTGATGTTTATTTTTCTATTCCTGAGATATTTCACTTAGGATAATGATCTCCAGTTCCAACTTGCCTGGTAAATTTTAAGTTATTTAATATGACTGCATTTCAGTCCTTTGGCCTTGTATTAAAGGTTGTAAGTTCAAGAGAAGCCATAGTCTTAAATTTTAGTGCATTTTTATTAGATAGAAACAGTGATCATTTTGATTACCTTATTTTTAGGAACTTCTGTAGTTTTCATTAGTGTTTGAATGAAATTTGTTGTACTTGGAGTCTATGTATTTAATTGTTATTTACAAAAGTTAGAAAGTGATGTTGTCCCCTTGCAGCTACTTACAGAACATGCATTAATTTAGTTATTTCCTCATTGAACAATAATTGATGGCTTGCCACCACTGGACTCATCTTCCCACCCTCATAGTTAGCTATAACCAGAGACTAATACTGTATTGGAATGAGTGAGACCATGCAGTGATCCCCTGCACAAAGTTATGGAACAAAAGCCAAACTTTAAAGTCCTTAACCTTTGAACAAGAAGCTACGTCAAAGCTGCCTTACTATCCCATCTCTCCACTTGTGTCTACCTTGGTTGTGATAGTGTTCCTACTTAGGAGTATACATATTTAGTATAGAAACCAACTCTTGGATGGTTTCTTAGAAAAAGGAATAAATTGGCTCGGCGCCTATAGCTCAACCGGCTAAGG